GAAGGTCATGATTTGGTGCAACACGTGAATGTCTTCAATCAAATAATTTTAGATTTGACTTAACTTGATGTAAAGATTGAGGATGAAGATAGAGCAATGATTCAGTTGTGTTCATTGCTTTCTTCTTACGAACGCATGGTGACTGCTCTTACATATGGAAAAGAAACAATCAAAGTTGAAGAGATTACTGCAGCCTTGTTGCCTCACAACCAACAGAAGCAAAATACAGGGGAAAGCTCTCATGCTGATAATTTATATATTAAGGGTAATCAAGACGTGGAAGAAAGTCAGAGAAGGAGTTGTCTGAAAAATGAAATTTCATATCAAAGTCTAGGGGCAAAAAGACAATTCATTGCTACAAGTGCAAGGAACCGAGACATATAAAGAGAGACTGTCCAAAGTGGAAAAAGCAAACTGATGAGAAACGTGATGAATCATCCAAGTCTGTGAATGTGGTGTAGGATGACAATACATATTACAGTGATGGTGATATGCTTTGTATTTCAACAACTCAGTTGACAGATGAATGGATTCTTGATTTAGGATGCTCTTATCATATAACGCCTAACAGAGAGTGGTTTTCGACATACATATTAGTTAATTCTGGTTCTGTCTATTTAGGTGATAACAGATGTTGCAATATAGTTGGTATTGGTGAAGTCATAATTAAGATGTATGATGGTACTGTTAGGACATTATGTGATGTTAGACATATACCAGATTTGAAAATGAATCTAATTTCCTTAGGCACTTTGCATAAGAATGGTTTTATTCTTAATGCAGTTGAGGATAGGAAAACCATTATAATTATTAAAGGTGCATTGACTATGATGAAAGGAAAGATGATTGCAGGGAATATCTATAAATTGTTAGGGAGTACAGCTGTAGGTGAAGTTCATTCTGTTGAGTCAAATGATGATAATACAAAACTATGGCACATTCGTCTTGCTATCTTAGAGAACGTGGAATGGTTGAATTTCATAAAAGAAATTTATTGCATGGTGTTAAAAGTTGTAAGCTCGATTTTTGCAAGTTTTGTGTTCTTGGTAAACAGATTAGAGTTAGTTTCACGACTGGAAAGCACAAAACTGAAGGGATTCTTGACTATGTGCATTTTGATGTATGGGGCTACTAGAAAATCATCATTGGGTGGGGCTACCACAAAACTGAACAGGAGTTCTAATCCATTTGGAAGAGCAAGAGATGCAAAACCATTTCGAGTTAATGCGGGCTGAATAATTTGCGAAATAAAGCATTAGCAACAGAAGTAAATTAGCTTTTCAACCACACAACAGTTTATGGGAATAAGGGGCAAAGGGGCTGAAAATACCTGTCTAACATTGCTGCATTTGTTTCAGTCCCCCCAACAGGCAGCAATTTAATCCACTTAGCATTGTTATGTGAATCTGTATCAACCGCATAAGCTGGCTTGAAGAGGATTTCAACTTGCTTCGGAGATGTATTCTCCCAATCAATGATCTTTTCAACATCATTCACAGTAGCTTGAAAGTTGTCATAATTTCATATTGCAGATTCCATGTCCTGTTTCAAATTCATCCTGCAAGGAAAAAAAGGACAGGGACCAAAATTCAAAAGAAAATGTACATCTATCACACTTTACAACAACTATCTTTCAGTTTATAGAGACTCTAGTTTCAAAAGGAAATGCTTACCTGATGATTTTAAAACATGGATTCTGATAGGGTCACCTTGTTCTTCTTCTATTTCTTTTACCATGCCTTTTCAACTTGTAAACCCATCTGTTTCCCAACTCATTCAGCGCTGTATATCAAATACATAGCCCACCTACCAAACCACTACCGTAGCCCACCAAAGCAACTTGCCAAGTAGACATAGCAATTTAATCCACTTAGCATTGTTATGTGAATCTGTATCAACCGCTGGCTTGAAGAGGATTTCAACTTGCTTCGGAGATGTATTCTCCCAATCAATGATCTTTTCAACATCATTCACAGTAACTTGAAAGTTGTCATAATTTCATATTGCAGATTCTGTGTCCTGTTTCAAATTCATCCTGCAAGGAAAAAAAGATCAGGGACCAAAATTCAAAAGAAAATGTACATCTATCACACTTTACAACAACTATCTTTCAGTTTATAGAGACTCTAGTTTCAAAAGGAAATGCTTACCTGATGATTTTAAAACATGGATTCTGATAGGGTCACCTTGTTCTTCTTCTATTTCTTTTACCATGCCTTTTCAACTTGTAAACCCATCTGTTTCCCAACTCATTCAGCGCTGTATATCAAATACATAGCCCAACTACCAAACCACTACCGTAACCCACCAAAGCAACTTGCCAAGTAGACATAGCATCTAACCATGAATCTAATTCATCTTCCCTTAGAGGAGGTGGCATTCGAAGACCAACTTCATTGCATTTCCTTGACAATGGTGACCCACATAATTTTGGGTTCCCCCTGTAAGAATCATTTGAAAACGTATTCAATTGATTGCTTTGTGGTTTGCTACCTTCAAGTTGGTTGCAAGACATGTTCAATGCTGCTAAGAAAGCTAGACTTGCAAGTTGTGGGGGAATCTTCCCTGAGAGCTTGTTGAGTGAGAGATCCAAAGACTCGAGTTCTTTTAGGTTGTCAAGTGCTGATGGGATTTCGCCGGAGAAACTATTATGTGACAAGTTTAGCATTTCGAGTAATATGAGAATTTGTATTTCTTCAGGTATTCTCCCATGAAAACTGTTGTTGGAAAGGTCAAGACAAGTGAAAAGTTGTCAAGATTTTCTTGTAAAGCACATAATGGACCTTCTAAACCACAGTATCCCAAGCTTAAAACTCGTAGGTGGGGAAGTACTAGAGATGTGGTTTCACACCATTTATTACTTTGAGATGAAATGTCCACTCCATCCAAATAAAGTTCTCTAGTTTCAGAGTAGCTACATCATCATAACCATTTCTCCGATAGCAATCATCTTGATAAGAGAGATCAAGAGAAATTAACCTTGTTAAGTATGAGATCTCCGTTGGAATTTGGCCATGGAAACATGAGCTGGAAAGGTTGAGATGAGTTAGATTTGGAAGTTCATCAAACCCATAGGAAAGCAGAGTGGTGCTGAACTTGTTTCCAGCGAGGTTAAGGCGCTGAAGATGATGGTGATCGAAAATAGAGTGAAAGCTACCTGAAAGCTTTTTGTAGCAAAGATCAAGTCCAACGACACGACCAAGAGCATCACAGGTAACTCCTTCCCAAGTGCAACAATCAATGTTGAGATCCCACAGCTCAAATTTGGAAGAGAAAGTAGAATTTGGGGCATAGTACAGATGACGCTGCAACTGCAACTGCAACAACAAGGCAATGTTGTTTTGGGAGGTGAGCTAGAGAAGAGGAAAAGGAAAACACAAGGGAAAGGAAGAGTGAAATGAGGAAATGGAGATTCTTCATGTTTGCTGGCTATGGCTGTGAAGGAAGACTATATGTATATGCTACATATTTATACACAAATCTCTGTGTGAATCTATTGGTACGAGTCTATGGCCCTGCATGCAAATGTAAAAGTCTTTTTCTTCAACAAGTTGGGTAGAACTAGAATGAGAAGGTAGACTTTTTCTTCAAAAGGTTGGGTAGGATTAGAATGAGAACTCAAATTTCATGGATTGTTTAACTTTGTCCTTTTGCTTTTGTCTGCCTCTGTTTTTTGAATTTTTTTTAGACGGTTTGCCTTTTCGAATAAAATACAAATCCATCAACAAACAAAATTGAAGTAAAAAGAGGATGAAACCCTAATAATAAATAAATATTTAAGGTCACAAATATTTAAGTAAATTTTTATTTTTATCATTGATATTTCGAAATTCACAAATCGATTATTAACATTATTATTTATTACAAATTAATCCCTTAATGTTGAACGAAATAGTGATGCGGCACTTTAATATGATTTTTTTTGTCATTTAACCAAATTAGACCATTTTGACCGACCCTTTGTCTTCAACCCAACCCTTTCTTCTTCCTCCGTCGCCATCCGCCGCTTCTTCCCCTTTTGGGCTACGCTTCCACGAAAAGAGTTACCATTTATAAACACAAAAGGTTGATATAAAAACAAAGGCAGACAAGCAATGGAACAAAAACATGTACTGTTATTGGCTTTGGGTGTGGGTGTTGGGGAAGGGATGGGCCTGGGTTTGGCTTCGGGTCAGACCAGATGGACCGGAAGCGGTTCCACCTATTCAACGGGCATCACTTTGGAGAGGATTGAGAAAGAATTGCTTCGCCAAGTCACCTTTGATCAGTTCCCTTACTATCTCAGGTAATGTTTCAATTTTTTTCTCATATTAGCAAAAATAAAAAGGTACATATATGATTGCTTTGAGCTAAGATATAGCTTGGGTTTTGAGCTAAAAGACCAGAGTTTTCCTCAATCACCAATATGAATGCTTAAACTCTTAAGCTGCTTGTTCAAGGCTTGATGCAAATGATTAGCTTTTCATTGTTATTTGTTCGAATGGTGTTTTATTTTATTTGGCAGTGAGAAAACTCAAGCATTGCTAACCAGAGAGCTTGGATTTTCTGGTTTGTATTATCCCAGTTCCATTGTTCTTTCATTTTTTATCTTCTATGGTTGAAGAAGAAGGGGTTAGGTTAAAGAAGGTCATATCAAAATGGTTCAATTTGGTCGAATGATGTAAAAAAAATCATATTAACTTGTCACAGCTTTCGTTACTCTAATAAACGGCTGTTAATGTGGAGGGGTGAATTTATAACAAACGAAAACGTTAGTGACTGATTTGTAATTTTTGAAACATTAGTGGTGAAAATGAAAATTTACTCAAACATTAGTGACCATTTGAGTAGTTTACCCTATTTAAAAATATTATGAGAAAATTAAAAACACATATATAAACATAAGGAAACTGAAAAATCTAGTTTTTAAACTTTTGTAGAATCTCTTCTCATCCGCCAATGCCAAATAAAAAGCATTCTATCTTAAGCATCTCCCTTTGTTTTTTGTTTTTTGTTTTTCCCTCACTTGCATGAAACTAAAAGCAATATCTGAAACAAGAGGGCGCAGAATTAGAATCTGAATTCGAATTTCGAACCTGTTGGGCTGACTATCTTGAACTAGAGATGGGGATAGGATCAGAAGTTGTATACACAGGGAGTATGCCATTGGAACTGTTTCCCATATCTTTGGTTTTGTGGAGGAGGAATGTTCCTGATATTATTGTAATAAATCCACATAGCTCCGTTGCAATCTCTGTCCCACCTTGTGAATCCCAATCCTTTTTTAATCAAAAACAAAAACACAAATTTCCGTGAGTAGGATTGTAAACGAACCGAGTTCGAATTGTCTGTTCATTTATTTCTAGGTTCGTTTGTGTTTGTTAATGAACTTGTTCACGATGTTCATGAAAAATAATCCAACATATTGCTAAGCATGTTCATTTGATGTTAACAAGTTCATTTAATTTATATAAACAGACATAAACAAGCTCAAACATAAACAGGGATCTGGTAAAAATGTTTTAAGAAAACATACCTTAAACATGATCATGCTGACAAAAATGGTGAGTGTTGTGAACATGACATAGTAAACAGGACATACAACAGCAGTGTTAAAGGTGTCCAGAGCCTGCAAAAATCTTAAGCTTTTAGCAGCAACAAGAAAAACAACAATACTTGAACCTAGAGCCAATAGGCATATAAGTTTGAAAAATATGATTTGAAAGAACTCTTTTAAGTATTTTTATCCTATAAGTAACTGGTAAAACAACTCCAATGGTATATGGGGGAGTTGGACAGCACAAATTCTCATCCTCTGTCCACCAAGTCCATTGTTTATCAGCAATTCAAGTGATCCTATTAGATTAACTTATGCTACTCCCACTCTTCATACACTTCTTTTTTCTTAAATACTCATGTCAAACATATAGCAAAACATGTGAATGGGGATATGATTTTTCAAAAATCCTTCCGGTGCATGGAAAAGCTTTTAGAAATAAACATACTCGTGTCAGATAAATACCCATATTTGATAGTGACATCTGATTATGAGTAATAGAGAATTTAACCCTAAAAAATAAAAAAGGAAAAGATATGCAATTATTTACGTCAACTGACAAAAAGGTTAGAGTATCATGCATAATATAATAATAGGCATTGAAATCTAAGTCTCAACACTTACCTTGTTCAAGTAATTTACTTGCAGAAGACAGCAAAAGATCACAATTGCTGTGAATATCCAGGTTTCATAGTATTTAAATTGATCCATGCCTCCAAACGACAGCTTCAGTGCGATTCCTACTGCTTTAACACCCATTACCTATGAGAATGAAAAAGAAGGTTCACAAGAAGTGTTGTTAAAGCCATGGTTAAAATCATTGCTATTTAGATTCTAGTGAGTATCAAATATGGATATATAGTCAACAAAGTCATTTTCCTAAATTTTTCATATATTTAAAGGATCTTTGGACGAACATACAACCGTACCAATATCCATGTGCAAGATGTGGTAAATTAAAAAAAAAAAAAATAAAAGAAGACTCCTTAGAAGTAATCAACAAACCGTAAGAGATCCCATGAGGGAGCAGATCCCGATATAAACTATCAAATGGGTTTGGCCATAGCGTGGAACATATCGAAAAATGATCACTGCTACAACAACCAAAACGACCCAAAAGTATACAATGAATCCTGTCAACGTAAAAATGTATATATTAGATAAATATCGGCGTTGAAAATGGATACTTCAAGAAAAATGAAAAGTTGGACCACATAAATTCTTTTAATGTGAAATCTTAATGTACAAGTAACTAGATTGGAAAGTTCTCACATACCTGGCTCTGTTGCAAGCTGCCAAACTTGTTTGACAGATTCAATATTTCTTTCCTTTGGAGCATGTAAGACAATGGTTGTAGAGCCAACCACACAAAGAGCACATCCAAGCATACCAAAGATGTGTAATCTCTCATTCAAATTAAAATGAGCTAGCACTGCACTGCATAATAATGTTTATCTAGTAAAATTAGTCAAGTCCACAAGCGAAGCCAAGCCAAGCCCAAGCCAAGCCCATAAGTTAGTGAAGTCCACTGAAAAATATGCTATGGTAAACATGTAGCATAAGAAGAAGACAACTAATGTCGTTCAGGCTCTTCATATTCTTTTTATCCATGTTTGACCCTCTTGTCCAAGACTTCTATATAACGGTACGTGTATATAGTCCTTCAAAGTACTTATCTAGCCATATGCTCATTTAATACTCGCAGAAAAGTCTGAGTAACATAATCATAACAACCTAATACAAAGCTCACCATTGCTCAATGGCATTGCATGCAAAGATTTGTTCTTGCTTTTCTCTTTCTTGTAACTTCTTCTGTAGCAGATTTGGTATTATCTTTCAAGTAAAATGTATACAGTAAAACTTGAACATAACACGTAAATTCTCCCATTCCACTTCAGTTCAAAGCACATCTAAAAGTAAATGTATACAGTAAAACTTGAACATAACACGTAAATTCTCTCAAAAGGCTAAGATGTATGTTACTTGGACTTGAAGATAAGTGTAGGATAAAAATATTAATACAACGTATCTATTTATAATCCTTTTTTAAGTTTCTTCAAGTGATCATCTACCTTTTGCTACTCCAATAAGGGCAGAAACAAAGCAATTCTTTGCCTATATTACTTAGATTCTTGTTTTAGAGAAATTACCTTATCAATTAATCTCCTTTACAAGTTTCAACTAATTCTCGTCATTTATAGTTTAAGATTTACAACTTATCAATTAACCTTATAATTAAAACGAAAGAACAAAGAAATGGAACTACAAGAAACCAACAGATTTGAGGTGGGTTTTTAAACTTACTGGTAATCATTCCTGCCCACCACAAAGGTTCATGCAAATAGGAGTGCCCTCCTTGCCCTAACATCAAATTCCAAATATCCATAAACAATAAGAAAAGAGAACACTTGAAATTGAACTCTAATGCAAGTTTTCAACAGATTGAATCAACGAGAATTAAGAGAAAGCAAGAAAGACACCGGCTCTTGGTCCCGATGCTCCAGCTTTCTTCAAGCCCTGCTTTTTGATAATGAAGCTGGATCCAATGAAAATACTCGATGAAACAGCCAAAACGAGACCACGAACATTGTCCGGTGACATTCCTTTTATCATTTTTATACCGAAAAAAGTTAATCTTCTTGCGCAGGGCCAAGATTTTCAATCCGGATGTACCTAAACCCAAATCAAAACATCACTAAGCAATTAAACAAAAAAGTCGGGGAAAAAAACTAAAATTCTTTCCTAATTTGTGTAGAAATCAGTTTTTGTCCGGGTTTTAAATAATAATAATAATATATTTATTATTATTATTATTATTATTTATTATTATATTATTATTATTATTATTAGTATTATTATTATTACTTCTAATAATATTTTATTTTTATTTTACAAGTTATAAAATTGGCTCAAATTACAGATTCAAAATACAAGCCCCAAGCCCAATAGAGATCCAGACTCAACTCGAAGCTCAATCGAAGCCCACCCAGACTACAACAGACCTGAACTGGGCCTAATCAGTAGGCCCAAACCCGATTAGGTTTCATCTTAGCAGCCAGCTGCCTCCCATCTCCAGCCATTGAATCTGGACCCATCCAACGGTCCAGATGCATCCAAAGCTTAGGGTTTGTACCTTTAATATCATCTAGTTGCCGCTGCCGACCAAGAAAGACTGTCCAACCGCCGATTAGTGGCAATTCCTCGAACCATATGTTTTATATTTTAAAAGGAATTCCAAATTTTTCGAAACGAGATGTTTTTGAAACCATATTCACTTTTAATTAAAATTTAATCATAAAGAGATAATTAAAAATATGTGGTTTTTTAAAAATCTCACATTTAAGGAAAAATCGTTTCGACATAAAATACATAGTAAAATCTAAAATATAAGATAATTTTAAATTTTTAACGGGGGCGGCTGCCCTCCATCCACACCCCACTCGATCATAAAAGTTTACAATTGATAAATAGAGTGACATGATTATTACAATTGATAAATAGAGTGATTTAGTTATGATGCTATGAAATATGAAATTTTAATTGTAAACTTAATCATAATACAATGACATATAGTGCAATTTATCCTTGATTTAACGAATTGGCTTAATATAAAATTAAGTACTTAAACTATACTCAAAAATAACTTTTGGTGCTTAAAGAATTTTTCGTTAAAAATCGGTGCATAATACATGTCACATTCAGATTTTTCTAAAGGATATTTTTAAATATATTTTATCTTTTGGAAAAAAAATAAAAAATATAAATGTGAATGTGTTATTTAACATTTTTTTAACGGTAAACACCTAAAAGTGTACCGAAAAAACATTAGTCATCTATTTTTAATAAAAAATTATTTAGAAACTAAAAATAAATTTTAAATATAATTTAGACACTTATTTTTGTATTAAGCCTAACCAATTTTACGACTCCTGCTCCATCGTAATCTAAATTTTAAAATTTGAAAAATAAAAGACAAAATTGATCGAATTACATTAACAATATTAAATTTACAACGTAAACATAACGGAAGGGACTAATAAGAGAATTTAACCTTTTATTTATTTAAAATTTCAATAATCAAATCCCGGTTTTGCCCCGTCTCGTAGCTCTCAACCCTATATATATGAACGTGTGGTTATCCTCCCGGTTTTGCCGTCGGATACCAAGTTAACAGCATAAGGTAACAACGCGCTTTTCCCTTGCATTTTCTTCCCTGTTCCTTCATTTTCTTTGCATCCAAACATGGTCCAATGGAATCCAAAAGATATCAAATCACGAAAAGTAGAATCTCAAATGCTTAATGTTTACGCACTTTCCCCCCTTTTTAGCTTCGAGTTTAAGGACTTGCTTTACCAGTTTGGTTTAGGGTTGCATTTGAATCGTAAATTGAAATTGGTGTAGTTTTTAGCTCTGGAGTCGTCTAGGTTTATTGGAGTAAAATCGATGTATTTTTTCAATATTTGAAATTGATCTATCGTATTTCGCGTTTGGATTTTGAATGGTTGATGATTTTATCTCTCATTTATTCGCTTTTAGAATTTTAGGTGTTTTAGTTTGATGGCCGATCGAAGCTCTGCTGCCACAAAGCCTATATGGATGAAACAAGCGGAAGAGGCCAAGCTGAAGAGTGAAGCAGAAAAAACTGCGGCCGCTAAAGCGGCTTTTGAAGCCACGTTCAAAGATGTTGATAAGAGTCGTAACATGGATGTGGTGGCAGCTTCATCGGATAGTGAGTCTGAGGACGAGACCAGTGACTTGGTGGACAAGCCAATTGGACCTGTGGATCCTGCCAAGTGCATGGCAGCAGGGCCCGGAATAGCGGGTGGCACAGCCTGTGCAGCCTCAACATTTATGGTTGTAACTAAGGATGCAGATGGGAGGAAAGTACAGAGTGGGGGTGCACAGGTTAAGGTGATAGTTTCTCCAGGTGTTGGTGTTGGGGGATCAGATCAGGAGGGCATTGTGAAGGATGTGGGAGATGGGACCTACACTGTGACTTATGTGGTGCCGAAGAGAGGGAACTATATGGTAAACATCGAGTGCAATGGGAAACCCATCATGGGTAGCCCATTCCCTGTGTTCTTCAGTTCAGGTAACATTGTTAAATCTTTGTCTGTTCATTTTTAATTGTCTCTTATGTTGTCACTTGTCATGTAAATTTCTTAATGTTCAGGTATTTGGAGTAGTTGTTGCTTTTCATATGAATTTCAATCTTTAAACCGTAGTATTATTTTCCTTGTTCTGTGTGAAGAAGGCTCGCAAAGTGGAATGAGAAAAGTTCCCGATGTGACTCCCCTTCATATTAGTGCTCATGTGAAGATGTTGAATTTGTTGTATTGCAGGTGCTTCTACTGGAGCTGTACTAGGTGTGGCTCCTTCATCCACATATCCAAATCTAGTAAATCAAACAATGCCCAACATGCCAAATTATACAGGATCTGTTTCTGGAGCTTTCCCTGGCTTGTTGGGAATGATCCCAGGCATTGTATCTGGTGCTTCAGGTGGTGCTATTTTGCCAGGAATGGGAGCATCTCTTGGGGAAGTTTGTCGGGAATACCTCAGTGGCAGTTGTGCTAAAACCGATTGCAAATTGAACCATCCACCCCACAATTTGCTGATGACTGCTTTGGCAGCAACAACCAGCATGGGAACTCTCAGTCAGGTTCCTATGGCACCTTCTGCAGCTGCAATGGCTGCAGCTCAGGCTATTGTTGCTGCTCAGGCCCTTCAAGCTCATGCTGCTCAGGTGCAATCACAAGCTCAGTCAACCAAAGATTCATCGGGTACCTTTTACACTATCTTGTTTTCCACTGCCCTTTTTCTTTTATTTTTTTCTAAGTGCTATTTATTTCAGTTGAGTGCCCAACCTAACAGTAATCTGCTTCTTTTCAGATTCTCCCGACAAAGCTGCTAAGGGTGATTCGTTAAAAAAAACCTTACAAGTTAGCAATCTTAACCCACTTCTCACCGTGGAGCAGTTGAAACAACTTTTTAGCTTCTGTGGTACAGTTGTTGAGTGTACAATCACTGACTCAAAGCATTTTGCTTACATAGAATATTCAAAACCTGAGGAAACAACAGCTGCTTTGGCATTGAACAATATGGATATCGGTGGTCGGCCATTAAATGTGGAGATGGCCAAAACTCTTCCTCCGAAGCCAGCTATTTCGTCAACGACTTCTTCTTCTCTGCCTTTAATGATGCAGCAAGCTGTTGCCATGCAACAGATGCAATTTCAACAGGCTTTGCTTATGCAACAAACATTGACTGCTCAGCAGGCAGCCAACCGAGCTGCAAGCATGAAGTCTGCAACAGAGTTAGCTGCAGCAAGAGCTGCAGAAATAAGTAAGAAGCTAAAAGCTGATGGGTTTGTTACTGAAGAGAATGAAACCAAGAGTAAATCTAGGTATGTCTCCCCATCAGGACTAGTTTACTTCCTTGTATACAT